TAAATCACTCCTCTTCTCTGCTTGTCCATTTCAAGTGCTGGATTTACTGTGTGCCCGACATGTCCAAAGCATGCACTAACAATGATACTCGGTTTTCGTTAAAGTTGACGTTCATTAACGGCATTCGCTTTCTTTCTTCATTACGCGCATTCTCTCTTGTTTACTCCTTGTATGGAATTCTCCTGCTCTGTTGCATCTGAAAGCTGCTGCACTGTCATATTCATTTATGTGGTTAAAATGCAATAATCTCAGAGATAGGCGACTTTGATCGAGAAGGGCTACTGAAATTAATTTGTTGCATCGTGGCGCCAACTATCAAAACTGTTAAAATAACATAAAATGCGTCGAATCTCATTCAATGAAAGGTACTTCGAACGTTTTTTTGCTTTCGAATATTGAGACTGTGTAATCTCGAGGACGGTCGTCGGCCCTATCGTTAAAATGCATCTCCAGACAGTGCTTCAAGTCGTTGATGGTCAGCCACCATAGAATCACAGCAAGGGCACCGGATAGTATGTTCTGTGCGTAGGAATATACAGTCCTCCAGCGAAAGAAGTACAAACTTCTAAGATGCGCATGAGGGTGTTTTTCAGCATTTCTTGGGCACAATGGGCAGGAGAACTTTGATATTGACATTTCGGTCTAAATCGGCGGCAAAACTTTAACGCTTTACTTTAGCAACTTGACTCAGACTACATAGGATGATAGGCAATTGCGAGGTAAATGCACACTTTAAATATTTATTTTTTAAAAATGCCTCAGCAGAATCCGCATGTTTTACGGCATTGCACCTGCATTATATGCATCCTTTGGCAGTTGCCCTTGTTCTTCACTTGCTGGCATGCTGGTTGCGGAAGAATATCTACACAGGGCTGAAAATACCACTCAATTAAATAAGTGCAAATAAAAAGGTAAGGTAATGCTTACCCCGGCGGCCATAACTGCATCCTGAGTGAATGTGTTAAGAACAAGAAGAATAGTGAACAGGTAAAGAAACATTTTGTCACAACTGATTGGCTTGATTGGGGCAAAGGGCAGCGCTCTTTTATGCAGTACCAAACAATGCCAATTTCATCTCAATCTGAGTAAATATGCTGTTTTCCTCTTCCTTTTCACTATGTTCTCGCTTTTCATTGCTCATAATATGACAGAAAAATTCAAAATTGCGTAGGGACACGACCTTTATCAGTATATGAGCAGAGGACTATTCCCCGCCATTAGACTCCTCCTCAGGAAACTAATACCGCTTTCATTTTTTCACAAAACATAAAGCTTTCTTTTAAGGGGTGGATTTTAAGGTGTACGATGGCCCTTGAATTTCGAACTAGACACTAGCAAAATAGAAAATCTTCATT